GGAATGACAAGATTGTGCCATTCGGGTGCACCTTATTTTTTGAGCTACATCAAACACATGGCAGCGCTAGTAATGAGGGTTATTTTGTGAGAATTTATTTTTTCAATGAGACTCAGGATCAGACCCACACTGCAAAGGACCCCCACCTCCTGGCTCTACCCAAGTGTGACGGTCTGACTGACTGTCCGTTGGATAAGTTATACGCGTTGACCAATGGAATCGTTGCCAAGGATTTGGACACATTTTGTAGTCAAGCCTTTCATATAAAAAATAATTCGTTGTTATTATTTGCTATTTTATTATTTTGTGTGGTGTTTGTCGTGTAAACGCATGTATTATAAAGTATGTAAATTATAAAATAAATAGCAATATACATTTAAAAAAGTTGCTAATAATTAAATAATGCACAATATTATTCAAATAGATTGTTAACACTATGATTCATATCTTGGCCCGGATTACTCGCCGCGCGAAGTATACGCTCGCAGTTGTGCGCAGTCGCGACGATTGGAGTCAATACAGTTGTTACTATCCGTCTACTAATCCCCGATGGAAGTGGAATGTGAACTCTGACGCAAAGTTGGGCTCAGTCTGGCAGCCCTTTCCCGTCTACACCTGTCCATTGAAACGCAAAGATGGCCATAAATTACTACTTTCAAGAATGTCATAAAGTTAATCATGATAGACTTGATTATTTTCACTCAGACCATGACATAGCCCATAGTCTCACAATAATGAACAAGGAGACGGATTTCAAATACTTTCAAATTGACAATTCAAATCCACTTTGACAAGTGAATGACATAACCTTTAAGGTCATTTTGTCATAACACTAATTTCAAATCCACCTTGACAAGTAAATGTCATCACCTCTGAAACACACTTTGCATTACAGTAATTCCAAAACCACCTTGACAAGAAAAAGCCAATACCTCTGAGGCACACTTTGCATAACAGTAATTTCAAATCCACCTTGACAAGAAAAAGCCAATACCTCTGAGGCACACTTTGCATAACAGTAATTTCAAACCCACCTTGGCAAGTGAATGACATGACCTCTAAAGTCAACTTTGCATATGTCATTAAAGTTTTGGTGGAACCGTTCACTTAGACATGACCTCTAAGGTCAACTTTGCATAACAGGAATTTCAAAACCACCTTGGCAAGTGAATGTCATCACCTTTAAGGTCATTTTGTCATAACACTAATTTCAAATCCACCTTGACAAGTAAATGTCATCACCTCTGAGACACACTTTGCATTACAGTAATTTCAAAACCACCTTGATAAGAAAAAGCCAATACCTCTGAGGCACACTTTGCATAACAGTAATTGCAAATTCACCTTGGCAAGTGAATGACATGACCTCTAAAGTCAACTTTGCATAACAGTAATTGCAAATTCACCTTGACACGAAAAAGCCAATACCTCTAAGGTCAACTTTTCATTACAGTAATTTCAAATCCACCTTGACAAGAAAAAGCCAATACCTCTGAGGCACACTTTGCATTACATTAATTTCAAAACCACCTTGACAAGAAAAAGCCAATACCTCTGAGGCACACTTTGCATTACATTAATTTCAAAACCACCTTGACAAGTGAATGACACGACCTATGAGGCACACTTTGCATAACAGTAATTTCAAATCCACCTTGACAAGAAAAAGCCAATACCTCTGAGGCACACTTTGCATTACACTAATTTCAAATCCACCTTGACAAGTTAATGTCATCACCTCTGAGACACACTTTGCATTACAGTAATTTCAAAACCACCTTGATAAGAAAAAGCCAATACCTCTGAGGCACACTTTGCATAACAGTAATTTCAAACCCACCTTGGCAAGTGAATGGCATGACCTCTAAAGTCAACTTTGCATAACAGTAATTGCAAATTCACCTTGACACGAAAAAGCCAATACCTCTGAAGTCAACTTTGCATAACAGTAATATCAAATCCACCTTGACAAGTGAATGACACGACCTATGAGGCGCACTTTGCATAACAGTAATTTCAAATCCACCTTGACAAGAAAAAGCCAATACCTCTGAGGCACACTTTGCATTACACTAATTTCAAACCCACCTTGGCAAGTGAATGACATGACCTCTAAAGTCAACTTTGCATAACAGTAATTGCAAATCCACCTTGACAAGAAAAAGCCAATACCTCTGAGGTCAACTTTTCATTACAGTAATTTCAAATCCACCTTGACAAGAAAAAGCCAATACCTCTGAGGCACACTTTGCATTACACTAATTTCAAACCCACCTTGGCAAGTGAATGACATGACCTCTAAAGTCAACTTTGCATAACATAGGTCAACTTTGCATAACAGGAATTTCAAAACCACCTTGACAAGTTAATGTCATCATCTCTGAGACACACTTTGCATTACAGTAATTCCAAAACCACCTTGTTAAGAAAAAGCCAATACCTCTGAGGCACACTTTGCATAACAGTAATTTCAAAACCACCTTGGCAAGTGAATGACATGACCTCTAAGGTCAACTTTGCATAACAGGAACTTCAAAACCACCTTGGCAAGTGAATGTCATCACCTTTAAGGTCATTTTGTCATAACATTAAAGTCAACTTTGCATAACAGTAATTGCAAATTCACCTTGACACGAAAAAGCCAATACCTCTAAGGTCAACTTTTCATTACAGTAATTTCAAATCCACCTTGACAAGAAAAAGCCAATACCTCTGAAGTCAACTTTGCATAACAGTAATATCAAATCCACCTTGGCAAGTGAATGACACGATCTCTGAGGCACACTTTGCATTACAATTATTTCAAATCCACCTTGACAAGTGAATGACACGACCTATGAGGCACACTTTGCATTACATTAATTTCAAAACCACCTTGACAAGTGAATGACACGACCTATGAGGCACACTTTGCATAACAGTAATTTCAAATCCACTTTGACAAGAAAAAGCCAATACCTCTAAGGTCAACTTTGCATAACAGGAATTTCAAAACCTCCTTGGCAAGTGAATGACATGACCTCTAAGGTCAACTTTGCATAACAGGAATTTCAAAACCACCTTGACAAGTTAATGTCATCATCTCTGAGACACACTTTGCATTACAGTAATTCCAAAACCACCTTGTTAAGAAAAAGCCAATACCTCTGAGGTAGGTCAACTTTGCATAACAGGAACTTCAAAACCACCTTGGCAAGTAAATGTCATCACCTCTGAGACACACTTTGCATTACAGTAATTTCAAAACTACCTTGATAAGAAAAAGCCAATACCTCTAAGGTCAACTTTGCATAACAGGAATTTCAAAACCTCCTTGGCAAGTGAATGACACGATCTCTGAGGCACACTTTGCATTACAATTATTTCAAATCCACTTTGACAAGAAAAAGCCAATACCTCTAAGGTCAACTTTGCATAACAGGAATTTCAAAACCACCTTGACAAGTTAATGTCATCATCTCTGAGACACACTTTGCATTACAGTAATTCCAAAACCACCTTGTTAAGAAAAAGCCAATACCTACAGTAATTTCAAAACCACCTTGGCAAGTGAATGACATGACCTCTAAGGTCAACTTTGCATAACAGGAACTTCAAAACCACCTTGGCAAGTGAATGTCATCACCTTTAAGGTCATTTTGTCATAACAGGAATTTCAAAACTACCTTGATAAGAAAAAGCCAATACCTCTAAGGTCAACTTTGCATAACAGGAATTTTAAAACCACCTTGGCAAGTGAATGACATGACCTCTAAGGTCAACTTTGCATAACAGGAATTTCAAAACCACCTTGACAAGTTAATGTCATCATCTCTGAGACACACTTTGCATTACAGTAATTCCAAAACCACCTTGTTAAGAAAAAGCCAATACCTCTGAGGTACAGTAATTGCAAATTCACCTTGACACGAAAAAGCCAATACCTCTAAGGTCAACTTTTCATTACAGTAATTTCAAATCCACCTTGACAAGAAAAAGCCAATACCTCTGAGGCACACTTTGCATTACAATTATTTCAAATCCACCTTGACAAGTGAATGACATCACCTCTAAGGTCAACTTTGCATTACATTAATTTCAAAACCACCTTGAGAAGTGAATGACACGACCTCTGAAGCACACTTTGCATAAAAGTAATTTCAAATCCACCTTGACAAGTGAATCACATCACTTTTAAGGTCATTTTGTCATAACACTAATTTCAAAATCACCTTGACAAGAAAAAGCCAATACCTCTAAGGTCAACTGCATAACAGTAATTTCAAATCCACCTTAAATTATATAAAATCATAAACTAATTTTACACAGCGATGCCGAACGATCGTATAAACCACATTATTCAGAGCTGAATTGTGGTTAAACACTTATTGTTTTCCTAAATTAAATTAGATATAATTACTTATTATTAATTAGATTCATATTATTATTTATATTTAACTCTAAATACGTAACTTGTAAATAAATAATAACCAAATAATACTAAAATTATAATTTTTGAAACAAAAACTATTTGATAAAATATTTATTAGTTTTAACTAATATTTATTATACAAATCGAACATTTAAATTGTAACAGTTAAATTAAAAAATTTGTAATTATAACTATTGTTAAATATTTATACCATCAACAAATTGGTTCTTAGGATTTGGTTGATAACATAGATTATTTGACAGCATAGAGATCATTTTAACATTAAGTCTACGAACAAACATATTTGGAGTTGGTTGATACAGAGTTGGGCATATGTGACTGGAGTTTTAAATTAAGCGCTATTTGAATACCAGTAGAGATACTGATGTCAATCAAAGTTTATTTTGTTCACAAAAGTGTGCGGTTTTTTTAGCACGTGTTTTTTTTACAGAGTTGGGCATATGTGACTGGAGTTTTAAATTAAGCGCTATTTGAATACCAGTAGAGATACTGATGTCAATCAAAGTTTATTTTGTTCACAAAAGTGTGCGGTTTTTTTAGCACGTGTTTTTTGTTAATTAAAATGACGTCAACAAAAACTGTGTACACCACCAAACAGAGGATCGATATCATCGAGCTGTACATCGAGAATGGGAGATCGGCTGCGGCAACCTTGCGCAAATTCAAGACAAAGTATGGGCAACATGTGACCTTAAATTTGACCACAATCACCAAGTCAGTTTTTGAGGGATGGGATTTTTTACCCGTCGGACCGTCGTTCCGTCGATCCGTCGATAATTTATAATTAACTTAATTTATTAATATTATATACGAATTCGATGTAGAATTTAACGCTGAGTCTGAATTTGAAATTTAGAAAATTTTATCTCAAATATTTTTCGAGTTATTCGACTTATAAGATTCGACCGACGTACCGGTTTTTTGTCACTTTTTTACGGCATTTGATTGTGTGCGAATGTGGTCACTTTGAGAACCTCATCCATTAGTTCCACTAAAACGGCCATTATTTGTGAATAAAACAAAATTTATTTGAACAAAATATCTTAACTCTAAGTATTTAAAAAAAATTAATTAAAACTCCAGTCATATATGCCCAACCCTGTAAAATAAAGCAGTAGACAGCACAGAAAATTGATTGTATAAACATTTGACAGTATTTATAAACTTCTTGGTCACTTTAACGTAGTAAATAATGCAAATAAAAGCGATTAAACCGATAAATAACTGCATTAGTTGTATGATAATGAATGCATTTGGCTGTGTTTCGATGCACTGATCCAATATTATCGGTATTATAAACTGAACGGCACCGCACGAGAACCACAAAATTGTGCCAAGCCTATTTGTTATCTCAATATACCGCCCGGTGTACGATAGAACAGCAGGATATAATAGTGACACACCATAGCCCGTGGTAATATTAAGCACCATTAATCCGGTGTCGGAGTAATGAACAAAAATTAGGCCCACAATCGACACAATGGTTATGAGAAAATGATAGCCAATCATAATCTTCTCCGACAATATCATGGACACAAAAAAGTTGACTACTTGTCCCACAGTATACGCTGTGCCCAACCCTAAGGTCATTTGGGCGCCGCGGGTGGTGTTGATGTGCGCCGGTATGTACTGTAGATATTTTGACAGGTAGTTAAAAAATATCAAGTCGAGTGAGTTTACGGACGATAGACAGGTGGCTATTAATGTGATTATAACTATACGCCTGTATGGTAAGCACCGGTCAAACAGTTTAAGCTCTGGGCCAGGATCTGAGTTGGAGTTGTCGGCCGACCCGCTATCCGTACGTTTGATGTTATTATATTGGTATTTACGGGTAAAAAACATGATAAATAATATTGTGGGAACTATTGGTTTGGATGACAATAGAAGTAAGTTGTAAAGTATAATACAATATAAGTCTTACATATAATTTGAATGCCTCCGCTTATCATATAAGATACGGACACTTTATGCCTCCGGTCCTCAACACTGATAAGGGGCTCATCCGTATTGACCGCACCGGTAGTCTCGTTACGGGCGGGCTCTCCGGTAACATAGGGTCCATCGATAAAGGAGGCCATCACTGAACCGATGCCATACATCACTTGTGATAGAAACAGCACTTTGCCGGCCCTTCTCTGCCACATCTCAATGAGCCACACATTGTATGCCGTAATCCAAGCGCCGGCACCCATACCGAAGAGTAATGCGCACAGAGATAGCTGCCAGGCCTGCCGTGTGAACGGTATGACCGTCGATGTTATGCCCATTAATAGTAACAAACATATTAGCGTGAGTTGTCTGTTCACGTACTTGAATACCAGGCCGACTGGTTATGTTGATAAAGTTGCATGTTGCATTATAGTATATTTTATGTGGTACATTAGTATTTTACTAAAGGGCTACATGTTAATTAGTTATTTGACTTACATAAAGGACCAAGAGTGTTGCCCACGAAAAATAAAATGGGAAATAATGATTTGGCAGATATTGATTCGCCCAAGGTGTATTGTAAATTAACAAATGTGGTTGAACTAGTAGCCTAATAAATTCGAATTAATAAGATCATTTTTAATAGTAATTACAAAGTGCATATTTATTTTAAATACATAGATTAAATGAGTGAGCAACAATATTCCGGTATACGCATATTTATCTACATAAATTGGAGCTGGTTTGCGCCAAAAGTCACTCATAATCTGATTTGACCATATGTGTTTTACAGTAATTTATTAAATACTGTTTATAAAATTATAGCTACTGTATATAAAAATATAACATTGCGCTTTAGTTCTCGGTCATTATTATTGAATTATGAACCTAATCATACAATAAGAGCGATAGTATAATAATAAACGGTAATTGCTACTGTTTTCACGAAATGTCTTTATGACAACTACTTTCATGACTAATTTCTAAGACATTTAATGTGATCAAATCACTTATTTGATAAATACTGTATCATTATGACTACTTAATATTGTGTTTATCTATTTAATAATAAATACAGTAATTTGATGTTTATTTCTATTAATTTTATTGGTAATATAAAACATTAGACAAAGAAGTTAGCATTTTTGAATATTTTTGTCAGCTATTTTAGCCAGTAATTATTATTTAAACTTGCTGATTTAGCATACATTACTCATGAGAAATGTTACATTATTCCAGTACAAACACAATTACAGGCACCCAAAAGAGTCCCTTATATCGAGGACAGACTTTATATAATTATCTGTATTAAAATATTTTGTTAAAATGTTATTTATTGATTGATTGATTTACAATCATTAAATTATAAATCCAATAAATCCAATTCAATCATTGACAATCAATCATGAATGTTGTTGATTGACATTATAAAAATTGTATTGAGCTGTTGTTGGATATTATGTTAAAATTTAATTGAAAAAAACATAGTTCCAATATTTTTAGATTTTCCTATTGTACTTTAACATTTTATTGAATTTATGATGTTAAATTCACAGATTGTATAAATTATTTATTTAGTTATATAATTAATATATATTTAACTTGTTGTAATATATTGCGTAAGTTAAACATGTGATTTTTATGATAACATTTGTGATTTAATTGTTTATGTTTATGACATTATACGAATAATCTTATTAAAGTATTTTATTTGTCCATTACATGTGAATTACTAATACTGCCATTATTACAATTAATAAACTTCTTGGTCACTCTAACGTAGACCATAATGCATATAAAAGCGCTTAAACCGATAAATAACTGTATAATTTGAATGATAATAAAAGCATTTGGCTGTGTTTTGATGAACTGACCCAATATTATCGGCGGTATAAACTGAACAGCACCGCACGAGAACCACAAAATTGTACCAAGCCTATTTGTTATCTCAATATACCGCCCGGTGTACGACAAAACACCAGGGTAGAGTAGCGAAAAGCCATAACCCACGGCAATACTAAGCACCCATAGCCCGGTATCGGAGTGTTGGACAAAAAACAGGCCCACAATCGACACAATGGTTATCAAAAAATGATATCCAATCATAATTTTCTCGGACAATATCATGGCTACGAAAAAGTTGACGGCCTGTCCCACAGTATACGCTGTGCCCAACGCTGATGCCATTTGGGCGGCGCGGGTGGCGTCGATGTGCGCCGGTATGTACTGTAGATATACTGATAGAAAGTTAAAGTATATCAAGTCGAGTGAGTTTACGGCCGATAGACAGGTGGCTATTAATGTGATCATTACTATACGCCGGTATTGTGAGCACCGGTCAAATAGTTTAGGTCCAGAGCCCGGGTCTGGCGTGTGGTCGCCGGACCCGCTGTCCATACGTTTGATGTTATCGTATTGATATTTACGGGTGAAAAACATGATAACCAATATTGTGGGAACTGTTTTGGTTTAGATGTAATTAAAATTAATTAATTGATTGTTTTGTAGTAATGTTTTTAAAAAGTATTTTTTTTAAATTTTAGTAAAATCTAATTATTACTAAGTTTATAATTTTTAAATGCTGTATGTTTATGCAACATTATCATTGATATTTTAAATAATAAATTTGGAAATAATTGGATCATCAAATAATTGTTTTTAAATTTATCGAGAGAGAAAGAAAAAATAAGAGAGAGAGAGAGAGAGAGAGAGAGAGGGGGGGATGAGGTGAGAAAATACTCTACAAATATTGGGGTGGTTTGTACCATGGGTGGTTTGTATTCAAACTGTTACTAATATTTTAATAATCTGCCCAATATATAAAAGAAAAATAATATGTTTTAAATTGGATTAAAAGATTTGCCAACACTAAAATTTTTTCCCCAAAATAATTGTATAATTTTGTTATAATATTTAAAATAATAGTTATCTACTAATACAAACAAAAATTTGCAAATCACAATCTGATTTATAAACATGATTTTCAATTAATGTCACGCAACATGTATAACATATTTACAAAATACAATACTTACATATAATTTGAATGCCACCGCTTATCATATACGGTACGGCGAGTTTATGCCTCCGGTCCTCTACACTGATAATGGGCTCATCAATAGTGACCGCACCGGTAGTCTCGTTACGTGCGGGCTCTCCGGTAACATAGGGGCCATCAATAAGTGGGCCCAACACTGAACCGATGCCATACATCACTTGCGAGAGGAACAGCACTTTGCCGGCCCTTCTCTGCCACATCTCAATGAGCCATACATTGTATGCCGTAATCCAAGCGCCGGCACCCATACCGAAGAAGAAGGCGCACAGGAATAGCTGCCAAACCTCACGTGTAAATGGGATTACTGTCGATGTGATTGCCATCAATAGTAGCAGACATATTAGCGTGAGTTGTCTATTCACGTACTTGAATACCAGGCCGACTGTCAATGTGGTAGTATTAGTACTTGTATCTAGTTTTAGTTGGTGACTTACATAAAGTTCCAAGTGTGTTGCCTACGGAGAATACGGTAGGAAATAGTGATATGGTAGATATTGAAGAGTCCACGGTAAATTGTAGATCGACGAATGTGGGCCCAAACGTTGTTGAGCTAGTTGCCTAATAAGTGTTAAAATTATTAGGCTATATTGTAGTGGTAATTACAAAGTTCATATTTCCTTTAAAATATGATTTACAGAATAGTGGAACAATAATAGAACAATAAGTTATATTTACATAGATTAAATGAGTGAGCAATAATATTCCGGTGTACGCGTATTTATCCACATAGATCAGTTCTGGTTTGCGCCAAAAGTCACCCAAACGGCCGCAAACCATGACTTATTTATTACAATAATTAGATTTAATGATTAATAATTAACAAAAATGTTTGTGGCAAGTTTTAAAAATATTTTATATATCAACAAAATGCAATAACTTAACAAACATGAGAACATTTACGCATTTATAAGACAAATACGTTTAATGAATCATAAATTATGATATCTAGATATAAATGTTTATTTAATTGTAAAAGTAATCAAGATTTTAATCTGATTTAAACATGTGTGTTTTACAGCAATTTAATAAATGTAATATCGCACTTTAAACCGTGTTAATTATTTTTAAAACTAAATATTGTGTCAACTGATAAACAACACAATAGCATCATGATTATAAAAATTAATAATTGTAATAAAACATCATATGAACGGTTCAAAGAGTAAAATCAATAAATAGTTAAGTTAACTAAGCATACAATAAATCTGATAGTAATAAATGTTAATTATTAGTGTTTTTATAGAATATTTTGTGTTTCATATAAAAAACATTTTCATGAAATTATATAAAATTAAACATGATGTAATTTAAGAGTTGATAAAATAACCTGTTTAATAAATAAAGCATTGTTATCATTAAATAATATTGAAATTTCAACTACTAAATGCATTAGTGCAAAGTATTAATCAAAATTATAACTTACATATCCATGTTAATTTACAACTTCTAAAACCTTGTGTGAGTTTACATAGTAAACGTGGGTCTTAAAGGTATCTGGCCCAATTATATCATGCACTGTATTTCGTTGCTTTAAATTAGATTTTTACATAACAAAGAATAAAATGAATATTTTTAGTAAAAACTGTAAATGTAAAATTCCATTAACATAGTAATAAATAAATAATTGAATAAGTAAATTAATTGGAATAAATTCTCTGATTCTATCAAAATGTAATTAATTTCTGATCTAGATAACGATCTTGTTTTGTAAATTGTGAGTATTTTGAAATAGTATAATACTATACTGTACTGTAATATAGTACTGCCACTCTCACCAATCACGGCACTTGTGTAGCACCGGCACTACGTGCCGTAAATTTAAGCGGCACCGGCACTTAAAATTGTAATTTTTCAATCACTATTTTTTAATTACATTTTATATTAAATTATATGGGCAATTTATATTTTGTTTATTAATTAAAATATACATATGTTGTATTTATTACTATATTAACCCTACAACTTTTAACTGGGAGCCAAGTTTACCATTTGCACTTTGTATTTCAATTAAAATTCAACAAAGAGTGCTAACTAAAAAAATTCAGTAATACCTAATAAATAGTTAGATTTATAAATATGTAAAGTTATATTATTACGAAATAAAATTATCATGGTTAAATTAACGTTTTAAATATTATTCTCCCAGGTTATGCTCCATGTAAATTTTTTTCTTACAGTATAAATAGTTTAATCTTTTTCTGCGTTAATTGTGTAAACTGGGATATTTATCTCCTAGCATTAAACTGCATAAACTGGTAGAAACAGCTTTCAGTATTAAGCATTGTGTAATGTAATTGTCTTAATATATATATAAGTGTAATTCGAAATTTAATTAATAAAGTTAAGTACTAATAATTAAATTATGTTGTAATATATTATTCAATATGAATATTATTTAAAATATGACATAACTAAATCTTTCAATTTTCGGGATTTTCCGAATAAAATAGTTAACACAATCATCGGGAATTATGTACCATTAGGTTTAGGGGTTATAATATACCAAAAATATATAAGTTTTATTTTCCCGATTTTAGCATATTTTAGAGAAAATTCCCGAAAAGTCTATTTTTATGACAAATATTCCCGAATTTAGATATTTTTCGACAAAAATTATTTAGTTTATAACTAATATTTCACCAAAACTTTTAATATAATTCTTAACTAAAATCAAAACATGTTTTGTAATCCACAACATGTCTTACAAAACATATATTGTTTATCTCCGTCGAAGTCTAGCGTTCTTTCTCTCAGTTTAAGATTATTCTTAGAGATAGAAGACTGAAAAAGCTCAAATATCATGTCATTATCAAATATAATTCATTTCTAAATGATTTATATGTATAATGATTGTGTTATAATTGAGTAAAATCGTATATCCCGAATTTTCCCGATTTTGGCCTTTTAATTCCCGAATTTCGATGTTTTTACTCCCGGAAAATGGAAGCTTTAGACATAACCAAATATTAAGATGTATATATTCAAGTGGATAAACTACAACTCTAATAGAAAATTGCGTGATTGTGATTTTTTAAATATTTTAACAATAATATGTGATCGATCATATAATATTAATATGATATTTATAAAGAATTATGAGCTAAATCAATTTCTATATTATAAAATAATATTTAATACCAAAATCAATATTAAACGTATATGATATATTTTTACCTTCTGTTGCTTAGATAATTAAGTTGTTGATCAAGAAATAAGTTTTTGAATTAAACTTAAATAATATAAAGAAAATGTTTGATGTAATATTGTATTGAGTTTTTGTTAAGACTTGTCTTACTTTAAAAATCACATTTTATGCATAAAATAAGATTTATTAACCAAAGCATTGTATCCATGGGATATATCGATCCCAGTGAGTTTAAAACTTATGGCTAAAATCAGGTATTAAAGTCAGTGCTAAAAAATTCCAGCTATTCCTCAACCAAACATTTGAGTAGGT